CTCCTCCCCCTCCCCCTTTCACGTAGCCCGCGACGAGCCCCCGCCGCGCCCACACACACCTAGAACTCGTCCGCCAGACCTAGTATGTGGCAATGGCCTGTGGGCGTCCATGGCACAACCCCGTGGAAAAAGATCGAAAGCACCAAATGCGCTAAACTGCAGGATTATTCCGAGTAATTCAGTTAGTTATCCTGCGAATAGGCGTCTCACTTCAGTTCGTTCACAATTTGCGCGCTTTTTGGTGTAATTATGTCGTAACCCAACGGGTATGTGGGCGGGGGGGGGGGGGAGGCAGGTTTGCACAGCCCCTTTCATGGGCTCGGGCTCCCTGCAAGTAAATAGGCAACCCGCCCGCATACCTGGCGAGCGGAAGGGAGTCCGTCTGCCCCTCTGACTTTACTGCTTCTCTTTTCCTCCCTCCTCTTCTCTCTCGCCCACACTCTCCCTTTATGCTTGATGTTGTGCGTAAGACTTGCAGTTTGCAGAGTTTTGAGCAGCCATTGTTACGCACAACTTTTCATGCTTAATATGCGCGACATATATGGACACTATGCACAAAACGTGTGTCAAAACGTCATGAGTCTAATTTCCACATAGCTACGCAACGCACCCACCGTTCTGTGCATAATAGATCAGAGATCATCAAGAAAGTACGTCCATCACCCGTCACTCGCCTTTGCGAACCTGCCCAGTTCATCGCGCTGCAAGCTCTCATGGCGCCTGGTAGGTAGGCAAAATATTGCCTTCAGTGCATGAGTGTACTGCGGGGTGGCCTAACCTGAGTCTCGCAGGCGCGAAGCCCTTGCCATTTGCCGGATGAGTCTGATGAAAACGCCCATACTTTCTGGACGGGAAGGTGTGCTTAAAATTCTGCATTTTTATGCACAGCACAGCTTGCATACGCGTTTGGTATGTGCTCATCGTTGGCATTAATAAGCAGAGCTTACGGTAAACTTTCAGCGTAAGCAATAACGATTGACCCTGCAGCATTGTGGTTTCCAGTCAATTTTCACCGGTAGCGCTACGGTGAAAATCGCTGCTGTAAGTTAGTGTGATGCACCCTCGACCCGTTGATACGGTTAAAATTGACCGTAAGCTACAAGGTGCTGCGGGCTGCGGGGTTCACAGTTAAAACAGTGGCCTCATCGTCGTGCGCCTCTATCCATACCGCTCACCCACCCGCTGTTCGGGCACCCCCGGAGTTGTATCGAAAGACTCAGCTCGCAGGTGCCGCCCCGCGCTGCCCCGCTCTCCTTCATGTTGGCGTCACTTTATCACTGTCCGTAGCGCGCGACTCATCGGCGTGCCGCTTACAGCCTAAACTTGGCATCGGCGGTAGATCGACGCGCCGAGCCTTGTGGCTGACTAAGCCTTCTAGGATAAGTGAGCTGTGCCGTGCCCGCTCCGTGCCCGATCCGAAAGTTATGCAGTTGTACGCGGCGAACAGCTTCTGCACTCTGCAGTTGCAACTGCAGGATTAAATTGTCCCGCCACTTAAGAACAGCAAAACTCCGTGTTGCGCCGAAGAGTAGGCTAGTAGACCCGTGTAGAGGAGGAGCAAGTGGGCATACCCGCTCGCACTGGCGCGTGCGCCGAAACCCCTGGTACGGTAAGGCCGATTTGGTTTTGCTGTTTCTGCGCTGGTGCTTAACTGGCCAGCCCGTCAACCGTATTGTGACTGCGTACGAGAGCGTGCGACTTTTTTTTTGTAAAATTAATGTCACATTTTTGGTATTTGTATAGGTTTTTCATATCGTAGCGTGCAGTCGAGACCGGGAACCGGCCGCAGCCTGGTGACGGCTCGCTCTCATGAAGACCGTAATCGTAAACCAAACTGCGAGAGGGACGATTTAAAATTCACAGTCGCAGGCGCCCATGCCTAGCCTGAGCCTCCTCCCGGCCTGTGCGGCCCGCCCAACAACTGCCTTCTCACCAAACCTTATGCATTGTGTTGCGTACTACGACCTGGAGAATTTACAACAGCCACATTTACGAGTTTATTCATGTGATTCATAATGAAGAGGGTAACTATGCCTACTATATGTAGAAATTTGTGTATAATTTTGTACAATTTGTACATATTATAACTGTACAACTTAGAGTGATTTCTCTTGCCCGAATAGAGCGACGTGATGATCTGTTAGAGCGATGTTAGTGATTTTTTTTTTTTTGGCGCACGACTGTGGCTGCTTAAAAGTTGTGCACTAAGGCACAGCCAGCACAGCACTGGGGAGGAAACCGCTTGGGTTCGTAGCGTACGGGTTATTTTACGATTATTTCAGGGTATTTCGCGGTATTTCGCAGCATTTCGGGTCTATTTCGCCTTCATTTCGAACAATTGCGGGGGAAGGTGTACGAACTATTTTGATAGTTATTGCCAATCCCCCCCCCCTCTCTCACAGTATCTTTGTTGAAAAGTCAACGAACTTGTTATCAAAAATGATTTTCTTCGTACTGTAGTATAAGCTTTCAAGAAAACAAAGCATCGTCTTTGCAAAGAAAATGGCTTAAATTGCTTCGTACTTCAAAACAGTCGGATTCTTCGTGGGCGTACAAATTCTTTGCCTATATAGTGTGTGTGCGTTGAGGGTTTGACATTATCGTACGTTAGGAAGGGCTTTAAGCCTTGTAAAGAGCGAGGGGGCAATAACTTCGGGAATCATGTGTACACCTGCCTGGGAATCACAGGATAAAAATCAATCGAAATCAACAGAAATCGCTTAAAATAAGCGAGAAACTAGTGGAATTCGTACAAATTAGTCGAAACAACGTTCAAATTAGTCGAAATAAGCGTTTTCTACCACTAGAAAACCCAAGGAATGAACATAGGAGGACGGGAATCACTAGGAATCATGGATTTCGGGAATCATGTGTACACATTTAAAGGGAGTTATTGCCCCCTGCCCCCTCGGTAAAGAGTGTGGCGTGCGGATGGATCTGCAGACGCAGCAGTCAGTAGCGCGCTACCAGCGGGTGATGGATCCTCTGCTTCGCCTTGCCGTAACTTATCGCGGCACACTGCTCTCCGTAACGAGGTGACGACTATCAATCCGCATCATGCAGACAACATGGCGACATTCTTTTCTTTCTTTCTTTTTTTTTATTTTGCCAGAGGGAGGGAGTTTTTTTGCTTTTAAAAACGGATTCTTGTCAACTACATCAAAGGGTTAAAAAGATTGGGAAAACCCTATGTGAACAGTCCCTCTGTTTCACTTCAACACGTTGACTACGAGTGGTCGTGCTGCACTCAAATGTGATAAGCCTACCAGTTGAAAGTGAACTACATGTGGTTGGTGTATCACATTTTTAAGTGTTGGACCCACCACACACGTCTCACATACTTGCAAAAGTTTGACCATTCGTGTCTATTAAGGTTATTCGTTTGAGACACATGTGGTATCGGAGTCGCAAGTGTGATACATCTGGTGTTGCACTTACAACGGTTAGTCTCACATTTGAGTTTCCGCCCCCCTGATATCACCTCACAGCGGCAGGTCAGGAGACTCTGTAGAGTCTGACACGGTAAAACTATAACATCTTATGGATTTCAAGCAATCTCCTTGGTTTTCAAGGCAGTTTTCAAGTGAATGGCGAAGCGGAAGAAGGGGATAACTTGACTTAACCCCAAAATGAGGTTTTTATGCCATGTTATAGAACATTATAATCCGCTTCTGTCCACCAAATATTATGGGGATATCTCCCATAGAATGGGAAGTAAAGTGGTTTGTAAAAAGAGATAAGTCTACTTAACTCATTTGGCACGATAATTTTCACACACCAATAGGGGATAAGTCGACTTAACCCAAAAGTCCTCAAATTTCAACTGGAGCAAAAAGAGTTAAGTCAATCCATCTCTTTCTGTCACAGGTAGTCAAAAGAGTTAAGTTGACTTATCCCCTTTTGCATAGAGTAAAAACATTGATATGATTAAAGGCGAAGCAAGTTTTCTGGATAGTTTAGTTGATATCAAATCTGGTATATTACCAGTGAAGAGTTATGTCGAGTTGTCTTCATGTCATGCTGGTCAAAGGGGATAAGACCTGAAACTCCATGAAGGTGTGAGATATTGAAAAACTTCAAAGTGACTATAATATTCTTGATGAAAGTACATTCAAACCCAATAGTAATATTTCTTAGAATATGAGTGCAAATAGTTTTTTGTGTTTCCTGAAAACTATGGTTTTTGGACTTATCCCCTTCTTCCGCTTCACCATTCAAGTAATCTACTTGAATTCCAAGATGTTTTTTTACCGTGAGGAGGGTGACTTAGGCCGCGAATTGAGTAGAAGCCAGCGCCAGCGTAGCCTCGCCCCCCACCACACACACACAGAAAAACAAGGTTGCGCGAAAAGGATCACCCTCCATCCCTCTTACCAACTCGTGACAACCCCCTGACAAACCACCATGCCGGTTTTTGTGAACGACATCACCCCTTCGTGTCCTGTCGCCAATAATTTGACCTCATCAAACTGTCCGGTCACCCCGCGGTACGCGTCGCCCTCGCCGTCACCCTGTCCCACCGCCCCGCACCGCCCCGCCTCGCGCGTTCGCGTTGCCATATATTTCCGTCGCGATCCCTCCCTACATGACGCAAGCCAGTCGTTAGGGTCCTTGGCCCGGCGGGGGCTGCGCGGCTAGGGCTGGCTGTGTGACGGGCAGGCTCATGCCGTGTGACGTATGGATTCGATGCCGCATGTGTCCCGCGCCGCCTCGCACGGCCGCTTTTACGGCATCACCGCTACCTCCGTAAGGGCGTAAGGGCCTCGTTCTCCTCACCCCCCTCGCCTCCCCCCCCCAACCGCTTACCGCCACCACCGCTACGCGGGGACGCAGACTGCTGCGCGGGCAAAGGGTCGCGCGGTGCGTTTGAACGCCACACCAGCCGCCCAGCAGTACCGGCACCACCGGCACGCACGAACGCAAACGAAACAATGTCATAGGTCAATTAAAGTCATTATTGATCACTGTAAAAAATATTCTGAAATTTCAGAGCAAAATAGCTCTAAAATTTAATAACATTATCAGTTGTTCTTAAACGTAATAACAGATCATGAAATTTAAGAAGTTTTCTTAATTTTGCAAACGAGGTTATGAGAATTCTGATAAAATTTCGCAATTGTACTAAGGGGTTATTAAATTTCATAACAACTTTATTAAATTTAAAAGGTTTCCTTAGTTTTGACAAAATCGTGTTGAAAAGTCACACTCATTCTTACTCTTAATACTAGCATTCAGAAAACTTCTTAAAAGTCATGTAGCTTTTGACCACTGGACATGGAGTTTTGGCGTTCAATATAGTATTGGGTGAACAACATCGAATTTAGGTAGGCGTAATGTAGCTATTCCACAGCCATATGCCAAAAAAGCAAGTTAACAAACATACGCCGTGCGACCAAGCACATAGCTACTCTGGGAATGCCCCTGGACGGAGCGCCGCATAAGGTCGGGTGCGAGCGCTCCCCTCACAGGTATGTCCCGACAGCCACGCGGTCTAAGGCGTCAGGATCCGAACCCAAAGGTCCGAGGTTCGAATCCACCCAAGTAAGGTAAGGTAAACATGTATAATATGTGGGAAGTTGGGTTTGAGCATCTGCCCCTCGGGGAATGAACTAAATATTTTCCAGATTTGCGTTAGGCTGGAAAAGAAAAGCATTTTTGGCGCTTCTCAACATTTTCTTAATTTTCAAAACATGTTTTGAATTTTGAGAAACTTTTTGTTCTTAAATTTAAGAGCAAATTTGTTTTGTAAACTGCTTCAAAACATGTGTTATTAAAATTAAGATGGATTTTTTTTACAGTGGACGTCGTCATTGGTGTATCGGATTTGGGGTTACCGACTGTGCCTAATGTTGTTGTCGTTGAAGGAAATCCCCCCCCCCCCCCGCAATACGTACCATGAGGCGACACGTGTAGTGCGTGAAGAGAGAGAATAGGCGTGAGAGGGTTAATGTGTTAGCCCCACTCCCACACACACAACCCTCTTCCCCAATCCGCCGCGCGGTGGTCCACCGCGTTTTCCTTGTCATTATTTCCAGTCCTTGTTTGCGTCCCGCTGAAAACAAATTGCCCAGAGAATGAGTGAGAGAGAGAGAGAGTGAGGAGGGATAGAGTGAGGGAGAGAGAGAGAGAGAGAGAGAGAGAGAGAGAGAGAGAGAGAGAGAGAGAG